AGCATGGGTGATCAGGCCAGCTTTCGCCAAAGTTGACTGAAGTCGACGGGACCAAACGGAGATGGTCGAAGGCGTGGGCTCAAGAAACAAAAAGAAAATCAAAAAAGAGAAGAGTGTAGCATACGTGTAGTATAGGAATAATCCTACACCGCATCGGTTGTTGACTGTGCAACTATTCGCGGAAGCGTACGGGCAACCGTACTCGGCGACCGGAACGTGAGACGGTAGTCTCGTTCGCGTCGCGTGAGCCTGCAATCTCAACCGAAGTCAAGGGCGGCGTGGTCTGCTGATCTGGACATGAGACTGTCGTCTCGTCCGTAGACGGTGCACATGACGCATGTTGTTGACTGGGACGTGAGGATGAGGTCTCAGATGTATCTAGCGTGGGACCTGAAGAAGATTTAAGGATCCCGCTAGTAGGTTTGCTAGGTCTAGCATTGAATCTCAGGTTGTCAGATAGGGCACTGTCATCGACGTGTGCTGGTTTGAGACGATCAATGCTGACGATCTCGACGCGGCCGTGTCGATCAACCTTGAAGGTCTTTTCTTGACGAGCGATCACGTGAAAAGGGCCTTCGTAAGGTTGTTGCAAAGGTTTGCGTACCGAATCTACTCGTATGAAAACATGTGAACAGGTAGATAACTCTCGAGGGAGAGCGACCTGTCAATGTTGTATTCGAATTGACACCGGAGGCAGCGTTCGCATAAATGCAGACAGTCGTTGGACGTAGTCTGATTTAGCGAAATTAGGTCTGCTCCGTGGTGTGAAGAATTCCCCAGGCAGACGCAATGTCGTGCCGTATACAAGTTCAGCGGCGGAACATTGGATATCTGCCTTTAAACTCGTTCTGATACCTAAAAGAACGAGCGGTAAGGTTTCGTACCAGTCGTCGTTTTCGTGTGCTCGAAGAGCACTTTTAAGTTGCCGGTGAAACCTTTCAGCTAAACCGTTTGAAGCTGGATGGTAGGCGGTAGTGCGTATTCGTGATAGAGCATCGGCAACACAGTTCGACTTGCCTTGGATGTGACGAAGGTCTGTCGTGAACTGGGAGATATAGTCCAAATGTCTGCACTCTCGTGGTGAGTAGCGGTCAGACTTGGTATGCAAAGCATACGTTAAGGGCTTATGGTCGGTGAATAAGATGAATCGACGTCCTTCTATTGCGTGACGAAAATGTTTGATGGCGCAGTAGGCTGCTAGCAGCTCGCGACAAAAAGCGCTATATCTCGTCTCCGTGGCAGTAAGGCGTCGTGAGAAAAACTCGGGAGGTTGCCAACTACCGGAGATGTTTTGTTGCATGACTGCTCCTATAGCAACATCGGATGCATCAACCGCTATACTAAGCGTGGCTGATGGATCGGGATGGGCGAGAAGAGTGGCTTGCGCAAGAGCCGTTTTGATTTCAGTAAATGCAGTACGTGCAGAATCGTTCATTTCCAATCTGCGTGGGTTGCCGCGTAGTAAGTCGGTTAGTGGTCGTAACCGTTCTGCCGCGTGTGGGATGAAACCAAACCGAGAAAAGCCTTCAGTTCCTTGAGTGAGGACGGCACGTTGTACTCCTTTTTTGCTTGCACTTTGTCCTCACAAGGTAAAATACCCTCTTGCTTGATAACATGACCCAGAAATATTATTTCTCGTTTACCTAACTCGCATTTGTCTGGGTTAACTACTATTCCATTATCCGAAAGGCGTTGGAATAATAGCGTAAGATGTTGATAATGTTCATCTACGTTTGATGATGCGATTAGCAGGTCATCAATATAGACGTGAACAAAATCGTGGTCTCGTACAATGCTATCGATAAACCTTTGAAAAGTTTGAGCAGCATTCCGTAATCCAAATGGCATTCGTAGGAACTCAAACAAACCGAAAGGAGTCGTGATAGCGGTCTTTTCGATATCTTCAAGAGCTACTGGGATCTGATGATATGCTCGTACCAGATCGATCTTAGAAAAGATCGTCGTGCCCTTGAGCGATGCCGTGATGTCGTGTATGTGGGGGATGGGGTAGCTATCAAAGCGCGTAACTACGTTTAGAGCTCGGTAGTCGCCGCATGGTCTCCAACTAACCCCATCTTTTTTGCGCACCATGTGTAGAGGAGAGGCCCATGGACTGTGAGAAGGACGAATAATACCAGTAGCTAGCAAATTGTCAAACTCACGCTTAGCAAAAGCTAATTTGTCCGGTGCCAGTCGGCGAGGTCGTGCCGTGACTGGCGGTCCGCGGGTGACTATGTGGTGTACCACACGATTGTTCACCGATGGAAGCTCCTCAAGTGGTTTAGTGAGTACGGGGAATTTCTCGAATAAAGCGTGGAATTTATCGTCACGCGAGTAAAACGTGCCGAGGATTCGGTGCGCGTTCATGTGGGCTTTACAGCCCATGAATTTGCTGTTCGACGAAGTATAGATTAGCTGCAGCCTACGTGAATCGACAAGCAATTCATAGTGCTGTAGAAAATCGATACCTAGTATGGCTGTGGGAACATCAGCAATGATGAACGTCCACAGATACCGTCGTCGGTTGCCCAGGTTGACCGCGAGTTGTCGTGTACCGTAAGTAGGAATGACTGAGCCATTCGCAGCGCGTAGTCGAAGCACTGTGGCTTGTGACTTGCTGCTACCTCGTGGTACGACAGAAACTTGGGCCCCAGTGTCTACTAGGAACCTAGCGTCGAGTTGAGATTAACTGTGAACACCGCTACCAAGAAACACGTGCCAGATAAATCAGAAGGCGAGGATCGAACGTAACCAGATTTATTTCGTTGGCGATCTCGTGGTATTGAACGAATACCGAGATCGTGCCAAGGAATGGTACAAGCGAAAGCAGAAGACAGGAGTACGTGCGAACAGTACCAAAAACCGCGGAACAATGATGGAAGGTAATGGAAGCACAAAATGGCTATAATTAGCACAGTTAAACAAAAGCACATTAAAACAAACACTGGTACAGTTGGTTATAATAATAATTGTTTTTATTAAACCAGTCGTGTTCTTGTGATAAACGTGAGTCACTACACATGAATGAAAGGACTCCAAACAAAATTCTTCTGTCGTCTTTAATGTTTCAGCGTCAGATGATAGTTTATTGAAAGTTGAGCAGATTTTGATGGACAGAAGTTGGAAAGGGGACATATCTCGATTTGCATGGAGACAAGCCCGGCAAGACTGTGCCGAGTTCGCAGGTGTGAAACTTCAAGAAATGTCAAAGATGTAGTGGTATGTTTCCTAACCACATGATCTTTGAAGCTAAATATATATTTACTGGGAAGATTTACATTCGACATGTAACGCCTATAGAAGGTCAAACGCGATGAATGCCGGAACAAAGTTGCAGTCGCATGGCTCAGCCATCCTTGCGTGGTAACTGTGCAACTTATTCTTTTTCATACCAAATCTATTATTCTATCCTCAACTCAAACATGTTTTTCAGAAGTCATAAATATCATATTGCTGATTATCGCCACGGGCGAGTGTCATAAACAATATAAACATAAATGTATTCATCTAAGACTCGTACTCATCCGTCAAATTTCGCCGGTAATCTGAAGATCAGACAAGGACAGTTGTTTTAGTCAGTATATTTATGAAAAATTTCGCTTCAGAAAGTGACAGTGTTCAACCTTAGCATGTTAGGAGTCTCCTAAATTAAAAACGTATGTAAAAACACTGAGTTCAAGTTTATATTCATCTCTGACTGCATCGTCATTCTACAATTTGGTGGAGTAAGATTCTTCAGGAAAGATTTAAATGAGTTGATGCGCCTCAAAAACGAATCTTTTGACGCGTAGATTGACTACACTGCTTATCTATAACAACGATAATAAACATCACGATAACACAAAATGTACAAAGACAGTTGGGGGTGACTAATAAGACATGTTCTAATACAGGTCTATGCCGAAAATCCTACAGACATATCCCCAGTGGGTTAGATATTTGAATAAGTAGGGAATTTTGTTGTTTCGGATAGCAGGTTCGTCATTTTGGAGCTATTTCATTGGTGATGGCTTTGTCGTTTTCGTAAGCCATGTTGTCTCTGAGTTGTTAGGAGCGCCTTTACTAACTGTCAAGATATTATTGCACATACTGTTTTTAATCACTTACCGTGCTGTAGCCAACCATACGAGCTGGCTGTTATAACAGCTACTATGCCTGTTGGCGAAAGCTCAGTCCTAAAACAAACCTTAGAAGCAATACTCAGAAATTTGGGGCGCAACATAGCAGAATAGACAGCAAGCACACCTTCTGCTCCGTACGAGTAGTCAGATCCTGGAATTAACTCCCAGTTGAGGTGATCCAGGCGACTTCCCTAGGAGTTCTTCATGAGGAAATTTGCCATAATCGTAAGGACTCAAAGGGGTATTTCACTATAACTTGCTGATATTTCTTTCTTATACTTTTCGAGTATTGCTCGTAAAACTTCTTGTAGTTATCTTTATCCTCAGCTGTCTCCTCAAATAGCTCAATACATTTCCTGACCAGGCTCTTACGAATAACCTTCAATACATTGTTCTGCTGCAATACCTCACGACTGATATAAGAGGCAGGTCTTCACTATCCACAACGCCGCGGACGAAATTCAAGTACTCAAGAATCATATCATCACACGTATCCACGATCAGCACTCTTCGCACATACAATTTGATATTATTTCGCTTCTTACGCGATCCTTCAAACATGTCTATAGGTGCACGTTTAGGCACAAACAGCAACGCTCAGAACTCTAGCTGTCCTTGAACAGAGAAGTGCTTCATCGCAAGATGGTCCTCACAGTCATTAGTAGGCGACTTGTAAAACTCGGCATACTCTTCTGTATTTATATCTTCGGGATTACGCGTCCAGAGCGGTTTAAGCTTGTTCAGCTGCTCTTCCTCAGTAAACTTCTCCACAAAATTCTTTTTCTTTTCTTTATTCTCCTCTTCCTCGTCTTCATCTAGATCTTCGACTTTCGGTTTGTCGTCAGACTCGTCAGCTTCTTTCGACTCGGCCTTTTCAGCCTAATCATCAGACACTTCCTTGGTTCGCTCTTTATTAACAACCAACTTGATGGGATAGTTAATAAAATTAGAATGTTTCTTCACTATATCTCGAATTTTTCTCTCTTCAAGAAAATCTAGTTGATCTTCTTTGAGATGCAATATCACCTTAGTGCCTCGTTTTGGTAACTCACTGTCATCTGGTGCGATTGTGAAAGTTCCACCAGCGGACGACTCCCAAATGTACTGGTCGTCATCATTATTTTTCGTCACTACTTGAACCCGGTCGGATAGAAGGTAGGCAGAATAGAAACATACACCAAATTGACCAATCATCGATATATCTGCACCATCAGCCAGAGCCTCCATAAATGCCTTCGTGCCAGAGGAAGCGATCGTACCCAAATTCTTAACCAAATCTGCTTTCGTCATGTGAATACCAGTATCCGGGACAGTCAAAGTTCCAGCCTCCTTGTTGGGTATCAACTTGACATACATATCTTCTCCGGAATCAAGAACTGATGGATCAGTCGAACTCTTATACCTCAACTTGTCCAGAGCGTCACTAGCATTAGATATAAGCTCACGAAGAGATATCTCTTTGTTGGAGTAGAAAGTGTTGATAATCAGGCTCATGAGCTGGGCGATCTCAGCCTGAAACGCGAACTCCTCAGGTTGTTGCTCAGTAACCATTGATTCGGGCATTGTACAGCGTCTAACATGCCTAAGTCCATACCTGGAGGCGTCGGTGATCCACCACTACTCTATACGAAAGACCATTGAGGGAAAGCTTGTACTAATCCATGCACTACCGTTCAAACCTATTTATCATTGGAAGCGGTAGGGTTAAAGTAAAACACTACTGAATGTGGATTACTTAGGAGGTAAATTATCAGTCAGGTCTATCATGTCATAGGTCACAATTCGTCTCGAAATAAGCAAACCAGCTACCGTCACAGAAAAAGTTCGTTTTTTTACGGTTGGGATCTAACTGCAAGCGTTCTGTACAAAATGTTTACAGTGAAATGAAATAGAGTTGTTATGTATCCCTTAGGGGATACATATGTATATAACCCTCATTTTTATTACCTTCTATAAAAAAGTCTATTTGGAGTTAAGTAGTGTAGGATGGATTTGTAATTCAGCACCAAATATCTCGTTATATTCGTGTGTGCACACACAACATATTGGTTATAATCAAGCATTAATGCTTGATCGTAATGATCCATGAAGAAATTATCTCTGGGTTGTTTGTCAACAAGGAAGGACCTGTGTAATATCTTACCTGAGCTCTCAATTTCGGGGAAATCTCCAAAGTCAAATGAACTTCACTAAAGTTGGGGAAAAACCCAAAATTCAGGGGAATCTTGGGGTTTTGGTTCCATTTCTTCAAAATTTCCCAAAAATGAGTCAAATTTTTCCAAAAATTAGGAGATTGGGTACGTATCTGTTACACGTGGAGTGCTCCTCTCCAACCAGTGTATTTGTAATCTTGCTAGCAGACTATCTATAGAGAATGTTAGACTGTAATTGTCCACGAATTACCTGCTGATAGAAGAAGTGACAACATAAGACAAGAAAGCGTGGATTAATGCTCGTTAGTTTTCTCTTGATTTTTACGCCTTATCACATCTTCGTTTACTCAGTTTCTTATCTGCATATTAACTCATTTTTAACTAAGTTTTAGTGCATTTCAAAATGTGATTCCTCTCTTCCCCATATTCTTACTGTTTAATTATATCGGTTTCGTACGACAAGCCAAACCTTTGTTTTGTGACTTAACGACTACTAGTGATAGCAGCCTTATTATCTGATAGTTTGTTTGGAAACATGCAATTTCACTAGGTAAAATACTATTCTGGTTACTGGTCACTGACTCTGACTTCAAATCATTCTCGGGCTTATGCAACAGTTCAGTCTCATCAGCAGCTATTACGGAGCCACACCTTATTATGTGTATTAATTATCAATCAGCGTTCTCTTTTCATTTTAGAAATAATCATTTAAAATCCTCTGCTACATGACATTAAGAAACGAGTGCACAATATTTTAGAGATTATTTATAGCCTATCCAATTTATTTATTTATAATTGTCCAACAATCATATTCTCAACTAACTGTTCAGTGTAGTTGAATATATTATTTGTTATTTCACATGATACTCTGACTTTGAAACAGACTAAAAACTCAGCAAAGTGATTGTGTCTAGTGTGACGTGTTGGAATGAAATATAATTGTTCTACATTATCATCCATTTTCGAGTAAAGTTTGGAACAATTAGCACAGACTGTTTTGTTACTTTAGGTTTGTCCCATCGTCTAATTTGTTTGTTCTCTAGTTGTTTTATACTTGTATTTTGTTATATACGTTGTACTAAGATATATATGATCATCATTATACAAGTAGAACTATGACCGAAAATCTATGCCTGGTCGGAATCTGCGTAATAGTTGTGAACAGTAGTAGATCGGAGATGAAATGGCCTGTAATTCGTAACAGTAGTGCAGACGCATTTATTCTTTAGCGCCTTTTAAATATTTGACTTCAAGAATATCCTATTTTTATTCGTCTCTTATTTTTGAGTCAATTTTTAAACTTTAACAAACTTGGTCATTCAGTGCTTAGGAACTTAGGGAAGATAAAAGGTGAATGCGTCTGCGCCATTGCCAATGATTTTCACCCATGTCACCCAAAGTCTTTAGCCATTGGTTTCAATAATCACATGGACCCCAACTAAGTAACCTTAACTTAGTCTAGTAGTTAATGATTTCATGGTCTAAAGCCACATCTTGGTTTTTTTCACTCCTGGCTTCCTCTCAACCTATTTTTACACCAATCAACATTGCCTGCTGATGTATTCAGCAGTTAGGCATGTGTAATACATATCCCAACCACTTCAGTCAACAAATACTCACCACCTTGTCAACCGGCTTACTATCTTATTCTGGTACCGTTTACCTAACTTCAGCATTGCTAATTAGGTGGTCTCAAAATGCACAAGTGGTGCTTCGGAGACGCCTGTGATCGAGTACTAGTAGCCAACGAATATCCTCTATTCTTAAAAGCTGTTTTACATGCATAAGATAAAATAGAGTACAGTTAAACAGTGAACTCGTCCTGTGGTTTTCAGTTGATTATGTTGACTACACTAGCATAAGTTGACAAACACCATCTGAGTATTTTGAATCCATGCCGAGATTTGGTCAGGCATCAGGATTGATGAGACTCCCAATATAAGTAAAGCAGTCGAAGCACTCAATCAGCTCACTCTGTCACTAATCTTGGACATGATGCAGGCTGGTTCTAAGACAATATTTTGCATTTGGAGGGAGAGAATCCCATCCGAAACACTTGCACTGTTGCTTAAGATGACCAGGAGACTGCTAAACTTTGTTTTTGGGTTTAATTTACATGGCGTGGGCATATTTCCGAAATGAGAGAATGTAGGCTCTTATCGACTTGTTGTGTTCAACCTATTTGACCTACAGACATGGATACAACGCAAACCACCGTAAAGAAGGAATACAAAGAGCAAAGAAAACGAAGGTTGTTATCAAACAGTAAAATGTGTCAGGTGGTTGAGGGTGGTCGACAGGAAACTCTGGACCTTGGTCTCGCACTATTCAAGATTAGTCAGCAAGATGTCCATGTAATCTCAAGGAAACTTGTATTTTCTACAGGATTTGAACCTCCACCCAGCTTCACAGTTTGAGGCGTTACCGTTAAGCTATTCGGGCTACGACTGACACCCTATAAAACTAAGATATTTACAACTGGTTGACCACTGGATAGTGACTAACATTATGTATATCTAGTCCTTATTAGTGCTGATAGAATCCCATTGGTCAAGTTTCAATATGGCTACTAATCCAGGTGACTCAAAATCGCGTGCAGATTGTTGAGAGGTTAATAATTGAAGGTAATCGACAGGAAACCCTAGACCTGAGTTTCGTGCTGCTTCGGTTTTACTAACAAGGTGTACCTGTAATCGTGAGAACAATGTTGCTAACTGTGTAGTGATCAGTCAGTTGTATTTAAAAAGTGAAATACGGTACGAAAAACAAACGAAAAGATTTTACAGTTCAACAGTAATGGCACAAAATATAGTCAAACAGGTTACAATATAATTAAATCCCGCTATTCCTTCACATACACCTTCCTACTTCGTTCTTCCAAACAATATTAGGTTTTTTATTATCATTCCTACTACTTTATTTCGACTTTCGCTCTTATCACGTTTTATTTTCATCTGGTCATGCTAATACAGTGTGGTAACTTGGACTGCGGAACATTTGTTCCCGACTTTATGCTGATTATAGTTATTGACTGGTAGTACTACACAAACCCGCATCCCTCCCAGATGATTGTGTGTTAATTTTGAATTACTAGCATTGAAGGAGGTCCACTTATCGACTTAAAATACGCAGATGATATAGTCCTGTTTGGCGAAGACGCTGATAAAATGCAGTCTTTTGGTAGCACTGAGCAACAATGCCAGGGTGTTTGGAATGCGCTTCTCCCCCTCTAAATGCAAGTTATTGCTCCACGACTGGACTGCGTCAACACCTGAATTAAGGATAAGGAGTGAAGTAGCCGAACGCGTCGACAACTTCACTTATCTTGGAAGTTTGATCAGCCCTAATGGGTTAGTGTTTGGTGAAATTTGTGCACGGATTCGGAAAGCTCGTTTGACTTTTGCCAACTAACGTCATCTATAGCGGAGGCGAGATATCCATCTTTCAATTTGGGGACCGGTATACTGTGTGGCAGTTTGTTCTGTTTTGCTTCACGGCTGCGAAATGTGGCCATTAAGAATATAAGATACTCGTAGGCTACTAGTATTTGACTGCAGATGCCTTAGAAATATTGCTGACATCTGCTGGGATCATCGGGTAAGTAATAGTGAGGTTAGACACATGGTATTAGGGAATGATAGTAGGTCAGTTGATAAGGTTGTGAATTTTCATCGACTGAGATGGTTGGGTCACGTGTTGCGTATGCATGAACACCAATTACCACGACGGGTAATTTTGACTGGTGTTATGGATGGTTGGAAAATAGTTAGGAGCGGCCAGACCAATACGTGGCATCAGTGCTTGAAGTCACTGACTTCTAATCTGAGCCATGTTGGTAGATGCAAAATACTTGGTTAGGGTCCGCGCGATTACTTGCAACCAATGGTTGGAGACTGTGACGTGGCTGAGAATCGATCACAATGGCGTCGGTGTATACACTTCCTGTCTTCTTGTAAACTAAGAGATTAAAATCGCTTCATTTCTTTCTTCCTGTACGGTGTCCTTATATGCAATCTTTCTTTCATATATTACCACCATTGAATTAACAACTTCTATGAATTGTGTGTTGATCTTGCTGTGCTAATGCAGTATAGCAACTTGAACCGATGCACATATGTGCCTGATCCTACGTTGTAGCTGAATGAGTTTATAAGTTGAATACCAGGCGTACCAACTAGTCCATATTCACCGAAATGTCCAACTGTTACGTGAGATCGCACTGTTTACAATATTTTTCTTGTATTTGGTTTTAAAGAGTTTTAGAAAATCCGATATGCTTAAAATGTTTCACTAAATGTTAATATTATTTAGATAATTATCAGCTGTGCAGCAGTGCATTTTATTACTAAGAAATATAAAACGACATGTTAAAGAGATTAACAAGGTACGGATAAATCTTTCAGTAGTATGATAATCGCAATAATTAGTTTGTTTGTACAAAGTCTATTTATTCAACCAAGAACTACCAATCATTTTGCTGGACTGCATACATCATCAATTACCATGTAGGTTATGTCAATTTCAAAACTAGTTGAATTTTTCTCTATTATTATTGTATAGGGCAGAACCTTTAAAAAAGAAGAAAAGAGTCGGCCTAGCTGATAGCCAAATTCAAGTAACTAGAAAAGTTAGAAGAATTGAAAGAGAAATCAAACGACTTAATCGTCTCGATCGAATATTAAGACCAATTGAAGAAATTGAAGGAGATCGTCAATTAAAGAAAGAAATAAAGTAAGCTATTTTAGAAATTCAGATTTCCAGTTTCCCTTAGTACATTGAAAGAGTTGTTCAACATCAATATCATATTATTACTAGTGCTTAAAAAATTATTAGTCAAATTGTAAAACGTATTCATCTACTTAATGTGGAAAATGTACTGACTGGCTTACACTGGAGTTGTCTCTTACATATTAGGACAACCCAATTGACCTAGGACATTTGCTCCATGAAGTTTTATAATCCTAGGCAGGTCAGTTGGAAGAGTAGTAAGAACAAGAGCAGTAAAGCCAAGGTCTAGTAACGGGATCGTACTGTTAGTTTCACTAGGATGTAGCTGTATTAATGTTTCGCACAAATCTCCAGTCTTACCATAAACTAAAGGAAGGTTCTAACAAGGTTATCTTTAAAATTAACATAACCCCGAAAACTCCCACTGTCATTGGTTAAGTTTAAAATGTACAGAGTTCATCCAACCCAAACGACTACTCACAAAATATCGTGTGTAAAAAATTTGAACAACGATATTCCAGACTAACAAGCCTATGAATATCAAACTAGGTTCACTCAAGTAAACAGATGAACAGTTATGATCAACTCAGAGCCTGGCACTGATATGTGTTATCCCAGATCCAAATCCCATTAGCACGATAAAATAAAGTTAACAGGAACAATAGTTAAACAGCTGAAACAATATATTACTAAGCATATTAAGGAAGACTAAACATTGAAAATATGATTCAAAAACGCAAAAGCAAAATGTTATAGGAACGAATACTCCGTCAGTCAATCAGTAAAACCGTAGAACTTCGTACGTACGTACATCAGTCCGAGTTGCCACATCACATAGATAAAATTGTCAATTCAAATCCCGTAATGGTAGAGATGGTAGGAGTATAAGCAGTAATCGGAAACATTAGGGTTTGAAGATGTTATTCAAGGAGTATAATCTTGTGAAATAAACTTGGAAAAAAACAAGAAAGGGACACGAAGAATTCAGAAGATTAGAATTTGGGAGAACACAAAGAGTGGATGCATCTGCTCCATTGCAAACGATTTTGAGCCATATCATTCAGAGTCTCTAACCATCGGTTGCTATCATCTCGCGGTCCCCAACCAGGTAGTCTACACCTACCAACATGACTCAGTCCACTTGTCAGTGACTTCATGGACTTGTGCCATGTTTTGGTCTGGCCACCCCTAGCTTTCTTCCAACCTACTCCTATACCACTGAGCATCGCACGTCGAGGCAGTCGGTCGTTGGGCATACGTAACACGTGTCCCAGCCATCTCAACTGATCAAGTTTCACTACTTCATCAATTGATTTACCATCCTTACCTAGTACCCGTTTCCTAACAACTGCATTACTTACTCGATGGTCCCAGAATATACGAGCAATGTTTCGAAGACACCTATGATCAAATACTAGTAACCTACGAATATCCTCTACTCTTACCGACCATGTTTCACTACCATAAAGTAGGACGGGACGAACTACTGCACAGTAAACACGTCCTTTGGTTGATAGACGTATATCTCGTCTACGCCATAAATGATGCAAGTTGGTTAAAGCTAGTCGAGCCTTCTGTATCCGTTCTGAGATTTTGTCTAGGGTGGAGAGAATCAACTCTTCCTCTCCAAATGCCCTCACATGGCCACATACATACAGCCATTACTAGGAAAGTCCTACTCACTTCATTCTCGCCGCATTGTTGCGGTTTACGATATTTAGAGCACGAAAAGAAATTGTCCAACGCTTTACTCAGGTAGGTGGGTACGGGAGATCTACATAAGGGAACTAGAAATCCTGATTCCAAACTAATGGTGCACATGGGCTGCAGGATCCTGAAGGAACAAATGACTATGAACCAATTATTAGTCACTGACTACCATGGAACTGCAATTCCTAACGTTTCTCCATTGCCTTGTGGATCAGACCTTTAGGTCGAACGCTCAGGGTACGGCCCCTTGAGAAAACCACATGTTTCGGTCTGTGCACTAGGGTACTATCACAACCTTTAACAATGACAAGTTAAAGGTCAACAATAGCCAATCAACACCGAGGTCTACAGGACAAGCTGTGAGCCATATATGGAGAAATTTGAACACTTCACTTCTGTCTAAAGTTTGTGCTGATGATGTTGTTCAGAATAACAATGAAAGTTCTATGTCTAAACTATTCAGCTCAGAGAACAAACTCTATCAAAATTTATAAACATCATTTGGTCCTAGTTATTAGGTGCATATTCTCTTGCTTTCGCTACCCACCACTGTTCACGATCATTGCGTAGGCTTCTTGTCAGCTTGCGCCTAAGCTGACTCCGCTCTTCGTTATGTTCAGAGCCAGATAGAATGAGTTTTCGCGCATCTATCAGTGTGGTAGATGCTGCTGAGATCCAGTGTTTCTCCCTAACCTTGTGGTTTACCATACTAGCTGATATCACTGCTGTTTCCACAGCTTTTCGAATATCATCCCATGCTGCCTGGGGTGAGCATCACATACATGGCTGCCTAACTGTTTTTCTAGTTCCTGAAATACACTCTTAGCTTGACTATCATTAAGTAGGACCCTAAGAGGTTTCCTTGCAGCGTCTTTCCTACGGCCAGTAAGACGCAGACAAATACGCGCTTGCACTAGAGCATGATCTGAGTCTAAGCATGTGCTCCAGAATGAGCGAGTCGTCTATCGAGCTCCTCCATCGGTGGCTGATATCGATGTGATCTATTTGAGTCCAACGTTGGGACGAATTAGGGGGTTGCCATGTTAAAAGATGTTTTTCCTTATGCTTAAAGTTAGTATTTGCAAGAAAGAGGCGGTTATATGAGCATAGCTGCAACAGACAGTCGCCAATATCTGTTCTTTTAGCCACGACACTGTAAGATCCACCCAGGTATCTTTCCCTTAGGTTACCTACTTGAGCATTCAAGTCACCGGCCACTATCACTACATCAGAGCGCCTAGCTGTTCGGAGAAGGTCGGAAAGCTTTCTGTAAAATTCATCTTTTAAATCATCTGAGCTGCAGTCAGTGGGAGAATAGGCAGAGACGACGAAGAGGCAACGACGAGTGTCCCTATCTTTCCTTACTGTTCCGTTTAGTCCGACAACGCACAAACGACTGTCTACTGGAATCCAGTCTAAGAGAGCTAGTTCTGCCCTATGACTCAATGTTATACCTACGCCAGCGAGGCCACAAGAAGCAGCATTAGGGCTTCCAGATACACGAAATGTGAATCGAGTTGGTTCTTTATTTTGACATAGTGAGGTCAAATGAATGAGAACATATTTTTGTAATATTCTAATGGGTAGAAAAACTAGATTTTCTAACATTTCGTGACTCAGTGTAAGCCAGTTCTTTAGAGAATAAATTATTTATTTGTAACAATCTACCCAATGCTCAATTTATTCTAAATTATAAAGTTGAACCTTGGTAATAATACCTAGAAAAGTTAATGGTTTCATAGACTGACGCTATACCTTGGTTTGGTCGCTCTTAGCTTTCTTCCAAAATACTTGTACACTAGACAACATTGAGATAAATAGTGGTCACTTAATAGTTTAATTGATGAATCAATTAAAGCAAGACCACCATGGAAAACCTGAAAGCAATGGACCAATATATCCTGAAATCGAGTCCCGCTGGCAGGATTGTGGACGCGCATTGTTGAGGAGTTCCAGTGCTTCCAGGTTTTCCATGGTGGTCTTGATTTAGTTGACTCATGAATTTAACTATTAAATTACTATAATATCCGTAAAACCCCTTTCAGATAGTGGTTAGTTAATATTCTGAATACTATATGTGATTATTTGAAGACTTCAAGGTGACAATCGCCAATAAGTTAGTAGTTAAAGCCATCGCATTTTTGAATCTTGTTCCACATAGTTCAGTTTGATCAACTAAACAATATTACTAGTCCACATACACTCATGAACAATGTAGCTCAAAGCTAAGGTACATATACTTATTGTATTAAGCTGATCATAGCAACGTTTAGATTCAACATGTATGTAGAAAATCCAAAATATTTTTAAACTTGTAACTTAGTGTAAAGATTTTCCGTTGCATATACATCTATGTTATCGTAGTCATCACTGTTGTTTTCTTCTCTTTTGTAATTCCTTCAGATTACGTCAACGTCCATCAATAGATATTAGTGAAACGGAATTAGATGAACGAATAGGTATTTGGAAGAATTGGACACGTTATCAAAGAAATGTAGCACACAATGAAATGATCATGTATAATTCAGCAATTGTTGCTCAACAGAATGCTTTAAAATGGTTATACAAAACATCTCCCAATTTATACAAAGCAGCTATTCAACCTTGTCCTGAATTAATTCAATCATCAGAATTATCAAATGATGATAATTTAGGAGTAATAACAAAAGAAAATGAAATGAATTATTTAACATTAATAGGTCCATATATGACTGCACCAAAATTACACGGGGAATTTATTGACTCGACTGAAGAATATGAACCACCAGATGGTGAACAAATTGATACAACAATTCAATTAACTTATGAATTTGAAATTGAACCACAATTATTAGCTCAACCAAAGAAGAGAAAGTTTATGTTTACAAAAAAATGAAATGTTCAATTCTTCTTCTTTTTTTCTTTCTTTTCTTGTATTGATAAACAAATTATTAATGACTACAATGTTACATTTTGTTCGGTACTAAAAGTTAGTTAGTTAGAATGAGTAGCACAACAACACTTCACTATTTTCATTTGAAAAGTGATCTCATCTAAAATAAGAAAAACAAAGATGAAAGTAGTTGTATTAAAAGGATAGTTAATATGGGAGTATAGTGGGGAAAAAAGTTAGGAGTGGCCAAAGCAAAATATGGCATCAGTCTATGAATTCATTGACAATGGAACCGAGACATGTTCAGAAGTGTAGATTACTTGGCTCAAGTTCACAAGATTATCGTAATTCGTGCCTAGAGACTTTGAATGACATGGCGCAAAGTCGTTCGCAATTGTGTAAAGGTGCATCTATTCGTTGTTTTCCCTCAGATTCTAAGTTTCTAAATTCCTCATAATTTTTTCTTATTTCACTAATTATTTTCTTGAATCGTATCTTCGATACCTAATCTTCTCCTATTACCATTACTACTGCTACTTCGCATACTAAGGGATTTATCCTGATAGTTTCATCGTATTGTAATGCAATATGGCTGTTCAAACTGATGAGCACATGTGCTAGGTTCGACACTGTGTATGACTGATTTTAAGACGAACCGATCTTGATTAGTTTGTCGGTAGAAAACATTAGCATCCACAGTCCAGTGTAGCCAGCCTTGTGTATATTTTCAGTAATCAATACATACAGGGGAAGCTGACTTTTCTCAGGTTCTCCTTTCCAAAAGTGATCGGGATGAATAATTGTCATAAATTCAGAGACGTCAAAATACTATGATATATAGAACAAAATGCGGAGATTTTTGAACACTTTTCATGAATTACTTAGCATAAACTCTTTTCTGATAAAAATCGGACATGGATACCGAAAGCTTCGTTACATAGATACTTGCTGGGATATTCGAGCTATGCGTGCAGGGTTTTAAGAAATAATAATAATTATTATTCGCCGAAATTACTTACTCCGACTAATGACCTTGACATATGTAGGGTGAGAAAATTATTTGGGATAATAAATCCAAAACATTTAACTAGCTCGCATATGTTATGAACAGCGAGTGAGCAATACTGAGGTTAGACCCAGAAAGTTAATTGAAGATGGCAAATCATTTGATGAAATAGTGAAACTTCATCGACTGAGGCGATTAGTGCATGGATTGTGTATATACAAATATTGCTTATCTTGATGCGCGATGCTGGTTAGTGTCGGAGTGAATGTAACTAGACTAAAACTTGACATAAGTTCACCAAGTCATTTACTTTTAATCTGAGCCAAGTTATTAGGTGCAGACTACCTGATTGGAGTTCGTATGATTTTCCCAAACAGTGGTCGGAGACATTGGATAACATAATTCAGAATCGGCGTTGACCTATTGATTTTTATTAGATTATATTGTCTATGGTTGATGTTTTCTACTAACATTGATATTGATTACTATTACTTGGGGTTTTGTCTTGCGACGAATTCAACTGATGCACATATATTCCGTGTTTTATGTTGCTTACAACTGACTGACTACCGAAACATACACAGGATCTCTAAGTGGATTTTTACGACAGCGTATTATTAATTGTTCTTTGAATATTGTCCCATATAGAGTTGTAAAGCAACAAGCTAAATAAAGGCATTTGTCTAGTAGAATTCCTGAACTTTCAATAGTTCTTCACCTAAGATTAGTGTTTAAATAATCTTCAAGAAAAATTTAAAAAGTACAAAAAGAATAACTATAACTGACTACCTCCAAATACCCTGGTACAACCGAGGGTATAGAGTCAGATCTCACACGGCCACGCATATAAAGCCACCGTCAGGAAAGTCCTACTTACTGCCCTCTCGAGGCGCGAGTGTTGCTTACGAAAATGAGAGGACGAAAAGCGAATATCCGGTACTTTAACTGGATTGGTGGATATGGAGGATCTACCTAGGAGCGGTTGAAAAACACTGATTTCAAACCAATCGTGCACATTCGTTTCAGGATCTTGAATGAACAAATGGCGTATGGACCAATTATTGATTACCGTTTGCCATGGGATTGAATCTCCTAAAGTTGCTCCACTTCCTTGTGGATCCAGACCGTTAGGTCAAAAGCTTGGGGTGTGGTCATCCGGTCAGCATCATATCACAACTGATTGATCACTGGGTGGTGATCAATGTCATGCGTGTCTAGTCCTTATTTAGTGCAGATCGAATGCTATCGACCATGCTGCAATGTTGCCACCAGTCTAGGTGACTCGACACTGCGTGCACTATATATTGAGATTAGATGGTGGTTGGAGGCAGTCAACAGGAAACCCTGGACCCAGGTTTCGTGCTACTTAGCACTCATCAGCAAGGTGTACCTGTAATCTTAAGGGAACTGGTGTTCCCTGGCGGATCCGATCCCGTGTCACCTAGCTTCACAGTCAGAGACGTTACCACTAAGCTATCCGGGTCGCGAGTGACTTCCTGTAGGACTGAGATGTAATCAGTCAGTAATCATAGCCTACACACAAATCAAGTGACTTGTGTAGCGCATCTGTATTCGGTGTCCCGCCCCTCTTTATCTTACCAATAATTATGTATTGAAATAAAATAAATAAACAAACAACTCACTTTATTTGATTGATTGAAATGATTTCTCAATTTGTCAAACCATATAACAACATATTGTTTATTATTATTTAAATTAATCCATTCATTATAATCTATATATTGGGTTAATGTATATGCAACAGAGATATCAGCAATTGTTGGATAATTTGTACCAGTTAAATAGTATGATTTATAATAAGTTAAATCATTTTCAACCATTTCTCTATAAATTGAATATTGTTTTGAATCAATTTTATGATTGAATGATAATAGTTTTATACTCCATGACAACCATTGTTTAATTTTACAATATTGTAACAGCTACATATATGTATATGTGATATATTAAAAAAAAAAGAAGAAAGAACAATATACAGTATATTAAATACATGATCAATTGAATAGAATGTATACATTAATAACTTAGGTCAATAAAGATGATTGATTACATACACACATGCACTTGCACTCACACACTGATGTCAGTCAGTCTTCTGGAGGTACCTAAAAATGAAATTGGATTAAAGGTGGTCTTAGTGACCTGAGAGCGTGACCGCAGTGCTCAAGGGACAACTGCTCGAGGTCGGTCACACACGACCTATTTATGAGTAATTTTCCTGTTAGTTCCGTACTTGTTGAGACCTTACCACCAGAGACGGATATTTGTGGGATAAGGCGAGGTGTGCATTTTAGGGTCGACCTTTTCTAACCCCACCTCTCCTTGTGGGAAGGCAGCATCACTGTTATGCTGGTACACATGGGCTCCAGTATCCTGTGGGAACAAATGGCGTATGAACCGCTTGTTTGTCACCGGCTTCCATGGGACTGCATCTACTTACGATGCTCCACTGCCTTGTGGATCAGATCTTTAGGTCGAAGGCTAGGGGCATCCGGGCAGTATCACAGCCCTCACACATATCGAATGAGATCTGTGTGGCACATATGTATTTGGTGCCTCCTTGTACCAATATCTATGTGTTAAAATAAATAAATATGCTGGTTGTCTGAAGGAAACACCTTACTGCTGTCACACCTCTGTACAGTCAACAGTACGACTTCGCCTTCGGACCTTGGGTTTGTTGCTTTTAGTACTACCGCTCTTCAACCGACATGTCCCGGATGGTAAGACCTTCAGAAACAGTTGTCCTAGCCAGCATAGTTCGACTGGTTCATCACGATAGGCGAGCCCGACCGCCACGCCAAGGTAGCAACAACGGTCGGGACATACACTGATGGCTAATATTTGGTTTCCTTTTTTATAAGGAACAAGATACATGATATTACAAAACAGAAACGCAGAGGTACATTATTATACTAAAGACGAACGGACAGATATCTCTTGATTTGATTTGATCAGTGGAGTTTGGTGTGTGTTACTGATGTCGATAGATATAAGTAGTATGTATCATTAACCGAAAGTGAAATGTCTGGTGGCAGAAGATTGAAGAAAAAAGAACGAGAATAGAGAATGACTGATGTGGAAACGAAGAGACAATGAAATCTGAAACGATTGATTGACATTTTTCAAATGAAGTATTTACTGTATGGTTCTCAGATTTCAATAAAATGTTCTGTAACTTAGTATTCCAATACATTCGATTGACCGCATTTGTGTTCTCGTTGACTACAGGAGTATAATACGATCGGTCGTTGAGCGTGGACAAATAACTACAGACTACTAAATGTGTGATTTCTTTTCCTGTCATTGGTCATTTCTACTCTGGAATCACTGAGATTGACTGTTTGTAATTGTATTGAATAAAGTATTATCTAGTGTTAATCTAATTCTCTATTCTGGGGTCCTAAATCCTAGTTCTGATATAACGAAAGTTTATCAACTAGCTACTAACTGTAAAAATGATCACCCAAGCTAGAAAAGACATAGAAAACTGTCAACATTTTTAGTCATTAAAATACTTGGGGTTTCCTTGTGCAATACCGAAATGTTTGTTAAACAATCTAAAGGTAGATATAAATAAAGAACATATGGAACTCAAAACTGTCTTTCAATCAATATCAAAGTCATAATCTTCAATGCAAACGTAAAGACAGTTTTACTGTACGGAGCTGAAACTTGGACAACTACTACAACCATCATCAATAAGGTACAAGTATTTATAAATAGTTGTCTACGCAAGATACTCAATATCCATTGGTCGGATACCATCAGTAACAGCCTTCTGTGGGAGATGACAAACCAGCTTCTAATTGAAGAGAAAATTAGGAAAAGGCGATGGAAATTGATAGGACACACATTACGGAAATCACCAAACTCCATCATGAAGCAAGCCCTAACTTGGAATCCTGAAGGGAAGCGGAATAGAGAAATACCAAAGAACACACTACGTCGAGAATCGGAAGCAGACATGAGAAGGATCAATAGCACCAACTGGAAAGAGCTGGGAAGGATGCCCAGGACATTGTTGGATAGAGAGTGCT